CGCAACAGATCACTGAAGCTCCGCAAGATCGGCCTCAGAATCAATAGAAATAGGGGGTTGACCTTGAGCCTTACGGACAAAGATGCGACCATCTCTGGTCCAGACATGCTTATAAGAGAATTGCTTAGCCCTGGCTCGCGCCCGACGCAACAAGTTGTACGTTTGTGTTGGAAGCAGTTCATTTATGTAAATGCTACCGGGAAAGCCCCCCGAGAACACATTGCCCACCGCAAGCCGGCGCTTGCCACGGGTGGCCCGGATGATGTGGTCGCGGATCTCGCGCGACTTAAGCGCTACAATTAAGGATCGCGTCCGATTAGCAGGACGGTTCTGCTCAAGGGCCAGACACGATCCCGACGCATCACCCAGCGACACAGACACTCCACGCCCAGCCACGTCACGCTTAGCCCCGCGAAGGGCGGCCCAACTAATATCCCGTCGCGGTGCTCTTTACTGAGTGTCGAGTCGGGCCGGTACGTTTACTTTGAACAAATTAGAGGGCTTAAAGCAGGCTATTCTCGCCTGAATACTGCGTGCATGGAATAATGGAATAGGACCTCGGTTCTATTTTGTTGGTTTTCGGAACCCCGAGGTAATGATTAATAGGGACAGATGGGGGCATTCGTATTGCGACGTTAGAGGTGAAATTCTTGGATCGTCGCAAGACGGACAGAAGCGAAAGCATTTGCTAAAAATGTTTTCATTAATCAAGAACGAAAGTTAGAGGTTCGAAGGTGATCAGATACCGCCCTAGTTCTAACCATAAACGATGCCAGCTAGCGATCCGCCGAAGTTCCTCCGATGACTCGGCGGGCAGCTTCCGGGAAACCAAAGCTTTTGGGTTCCGGGGGAAGTATGGTTGCAAAGCTGAAACTTAAAGGAATTGACGGAAGGGCACCACCAGGAGTGGAGCCTGCGGCTTAATTTGACTCAACACGGGAAACCTCACCAGGCCCAGACACCGGAAGGATTGACAGATTGATAGCTCTTTCTTGATTCGGTGGGTGGTGGTGCATGGCCGTTCTTAGTTGGTGGAGCGATTTGTCTGGTTAATTCCGATAACGAACGAGACTCTAGCCTGCTAAATAGGCGTACCTTATGGTATCTCGAAGGCCCCCGGCTTCGGCCGGCGGGTTTTTACTACCAACGTACAAACAAATCTTCTTAGAGGGACAGGCGGCTTCTAGCCGCACGAGATTGAGCAATAACAGGTCTGTGATGCCCTTAGATGTTCTGGGCCGCACGCGCGCTACACTGAAGGAATCAGCGTGTGTTCCCTGGCCGAAAGGCCCGGGTAACCCGCTGAACCTCCTTCGTGCTAGGGATTGGGGCTTGCAATTGTTCCCCATGAACGAGGAATTCCCAGTAAGCGCGAGTCATAAGCTCGCGTTGATTACGTCCCTGCCCTTTGTACACACCGCCCGTCGCTACTACCGATTGAATGATTTAGTGAGGTCTTCGGACTGGTGCGCGGCAATGCGTCGGCATTGCCGATGTTGCCGGAAAGATGACCAAACTTGATCATTTAGAGGAAGTAAAAGTCGTAACAAGGTTTCCGTAGGTGAACCTGCGGAAGGATCATTAACGTTTGCGGAGGTCCCACCAGTTTGGAGACTGAAAGTTAAACACAGAGAGACACAAACGCACCTTGTGCCACATCCGAAAGATGCCGAGAGGATTGTCTCGAACGCGTGTTCACACCACGCGTTCGTACGCCTTCTATCGTCGTCGCGCGCACCGCCACAACACCGCCGTTGTAACGTCACGGCGTCGTGTTGCGTCTGGGACTGTGTGCGCGCGCGAAGTGACGCGAGGCGCGCGATCGTACGGAAGCGAGGCGCTCGGCGATTCCCCCGATCTCTCTCGAGATCGGGCGTCAGCTGGGCGCGTACCGGTGGTAACCTGTGCCGCGCGCGTGCAAGCGCGCGCGCGCTGAAGGGCCGAGAGAACGCAGTGCTCTCTTCGTGCCCGATGGTTTTTCAAAGACTTCCGCCCCGGCTCTCGCCTCGCGCGAGAGACGTTCCGATTATCGCGTGACAATCTCCTCTCTTTTGCATCTCGTTGTGCCGCCTATATAGCCCTCGTCAAAAGGGGCGGCGGTCCGCGCGTGCTCGGACGCGCGGCCAGGCTGATCGAAGGGCCCGAAAAAAACCCGAGACGCATACGGAAGTACGTTGAAGCGTTGAAGTTAAAGAACGCAAAGCAAAAACGATTACCCTGAACGGTGGATCACTTGGCTTGTGGGTCGATGAAGAACGCAGCTAATTGCGCGTCAACTTGTGAACTGCAGGACACATGAACATCGACATTTCAAACGCACATTGCGGTCCACGGATACAATTCCCGGACCACGCCTGGCTGAGGGTCGTTTTAATACCGACATACTGCTTGCGCCCTCGCGTAACGACGGCTAAAACGGGCGCGCGGTTAAGCGCGCCCGGAAGCCTCGACGCGCGTACGGACGTACGAGCGATCGTTGGACGTTCGCCACACGAGTGTCGCGTATAAGTTTCGCTGTGCGAGACCTCCTCTCTCTCTGTGAGAGAGAGCGAGTTTGTCTCCGCGCACACACTTGGGGGGCGTCGTCCGAAATGAAACGGGAGGATGACATAATTGACTGAGCGGTTAACGCGCGTGATCGCGGTGTCCTCGCGACGTAGACGTACGGTGCCGCCGCCGTCGCCGCCCGGAGACGCCTCGTCTGTCGGAGCTGCTGTGGTGGGCTCTTTGTGCGCGCCGCCGAGCGACACGCCACGCCACCCGATCACACACAAAGCGGTGTATCGGGCGAGCCGACCGCGTGTCCGAGTCCACGAAAGTAAAAACACTTGCTTGGTTAGGACCGGCACGCGTCGTCGTGTACTCGTCTCGAACGACCGCGTGGTGCGTGTATCGCAACACGCCTATCCTGCCCGCTGATCGACGCGACGGTTCGTCTCGTCTCGTCTCGTCGCGCTGCTTTTTTTTCTTTGTTGACGACCTCAGAGCAGGCGAGATTACCCGCTGAATTTAAGCATATTATTAAGCGGAGGAAAAGAAACTAACTAGGATTTCCTTAGTAGCGGCGAGCGAACAGGAAAGAGCCCAGCACCAAATCCCGCGGTTCCGCCGCAGGGAAATGTGGTGTTCGGGAGGGTCCGCTTATCCCGAGGTGTCGCGCCGCGTCCAAGTCCATCTTGAATGGGGCCACTTACCCGCAGAGGGTGCCAGGTGAGGGGCGGGGGGGTACCGCGGGCGGGGGGGACCGCGGGGGAGGGAGAGGGGGAACCGCGTGTTTCGGGCGCCGCGGGGGAGGGGGAGGGGGAACCGCGTTTTTCGGGCGTTGCGGGGGAAGGGGGAGGGGGGAACCGCGTGTTTTGGGCGCCGCGGGGGAGGGGGAGAAGAGAACCGCGTTTTTCGGGCGTCGCGGTGTAGGGGAGGGGGCAACCGCGTTTTCCGGCGCCGCGGGGTAAGGGGACACACGATTTTTACCGCGCCGCGGAGTCCGCGTGACGTCACACGACACGCTCGCGTTATCTCTCCCTCGTAGATGTTTCCCCCGTCCCCTGGTTGCGCGCGTCTTCTCGTTCGCGCGGTCTCTCTCGCTCCTGTTTGCGTTCTCGCTCACGATCGAGTTTAAATAAATTTATATTATACATAGAAAATTTGCTTACCACCGCAGGATTTGAACCAGAAATTCCTAACTCTTAAGTCAGTCACCTTCAGAATTCAGGTCATTGTCTCTTAATTTACACAATAATATGTATACACTAAAATACTGCAGGCTATTTACACAGTTAAAATTTACACAAAAACACACATAGGACACAGATTACACTGTGAAATTAGATATAATGGGTCTCCACAAGATGAACAAAAGAGACCATCTATGAGGATATACGGACATGTGTCATGTCTGCGAACAGCGTATAACATCGAGAACAATCCGTGTATTCTGACGCACAAAACTTCATATGTCCTGGAGTAAAATAAGGGTATATGCAATACATCTTTGTCAGAGGGTGTAACATATTCACTTTTGCTTGATTCAACACTCTGAAAATTTCGTCCGGATTATCCTCATCAGCCATTTCACTATGATAACACGAATCGTCCGACAATAATGCTTCATCATCAACTTCTATTTCTTCCTCGTTATTCACTTCCATTTCTTCAACGTTTGCTTCAACTTCCATTTCATGTCCTTCAAACTGCAATTCTTTGAAATCCATTTTGCAGAACGTTGTATGCCTCAAAAGGCGCAATACACGGTGCTACTGTTAAAATCACACAGTGCAGACAGTACAAACAGTCGCGACACTTGAAATTTTTTGACAAGACAAACACGTCCGAACATTATCAAGCATGTCAACCGACTCTTACTTCTAGACCTTGACTACTGAGCGTACCTTCAAATTCATCCTTCTACATCTCACTATTGTCACATCGTTTGTTTATCATATCTAATTTCATCATAATCTTAACATCCATACAATTGCGCTTTCCGAAAAATCTGCGATGTTCAGTTTTGCACGTGTGCAATGAAGTCACCGCGAGACACGTATGTTCTCGAAAACGATATCGCGCCATTGACTTTCGGTGATTTGATCTGTAAAACTGCTATTGAACCGCGATCAAACAGCTATCAAACAGGTATTGAACCGCTATGAAACAGCTATCAAACAGCTACTGAACCGCTATAAAACAGCTAAAAACAGCTATTGAACCGCTATCAAACAGCTAAAAACAGCTATGAAACAGCTAAAAACAGCTAAAAACAGCTATTGAACCGCTATCAAACAGCTATCAAACAGCTATCAAACAGCTAAAAACAGCTATCAAATAGCTATTGAACCGCTATGAAACAGCTAAAAACAGCTATCAAACAGCTCTTGAACAGCTATCAAATAGAGTCCTAGATAATAGAGAAGCGACATTGAAGGGAATGGTCTGATTGGTTAACTAAATCACGTGATCCAGCGCCATTTTGTTTCTCCCTTATGGTTAAATAAGTGAGGTTAATGCACGTTAGAGGCCTGCTGCACGTGAGACAACGCGAGACATTACTGTTACGGTTCTGTGAAAGGCCGTGATTCTTCGGATCCTACCGTGATATAGGACATCCTCAAGACAAATTTGTGGCCACCAGAGACAGGAGACAGGTACACGGAAGAGAAGGAAGCCAAAATCATAGAAAACACGTCGTCGTCGCAGCCTGATAACGTGGCCGCGAGTTACAAGGAGACCAAGAGCAAGACGTCTGGCAGGAAGAAAGACGTAAAGATCAAGGTGGGCGAGCAAATGTCAGATACTGAGCTAGTGGATCCTTTGCCGGAGAAGTTATGCTCGACAGTGAACGCCAGACTGAAGAACGATCTAATCGTGTGCGCGGTGATCGGCACCCTGTCTTTTGGAATTCATCGTACGACGGTGTTCACCGCTCTGCAACCGGAGCTCAATCCGGTACTGTGGAGTATTGTGAGTTGCCTGGGCTTTCTCCTGTACTACATCGTGCCGCAGCTGCGCAAGCAGCTGCCTTGGCTGTGCCTTTCGAGACCGGTACTATGTAGTCATGAGCACGCGCAATTCGAGATACGAGACCCGGTGAGGATCATATGGTTTGAGAAGGTCTACGTGGGCCTGTGCTTTCTCTAGCGGAACGTGCTCTATCCGGTCGCTGTCCTGCGTATTCTCCTATTAATTATGACGTAAGTACTCTCATGTATATAAATCTTTATTAAATATAAATTATTCTACTTATTGAAAGGAATATTAAACTTTATTGTTTTTTTATGAGAAACATTCTTTTTTCCTCTTCAGGATAAAGTTCTGTGTACAAACATGTACAAATATTTATAAAAGTAAGGGACGGAAAGTAGGAGACGAGAACAACAACGAAACTCTTATGTTTCATCGTTTTCCTAGAAATGAAGGACAGAAAGCTAGATGGATTAACAGTATCAGGAATATTAATGGATCTACTTGGGAGCCTAAGGATCCATTGTTTGTGTGCTCTCTAAGCTGCAGTGTAGCAAATATATACATATACATATATAGCGAAGTTATTTACTGATAGCATGCATATTTTTTCAGGAGCATTTTGACAGGTTTTCTTGGGAGCGTGTTAGAGAAGATGGTAAGAGGAAACTGAAAATCGGAGCAATTCCTTCAGTTTTTAACGATAGTCTCCCATCGAAGCCATTTAATGAACATACATATTCAATGCCATTGCAGGACAGAAGTAATATTGCTGCACAATTATCTGTAAGTTTATTATATTAATAAAATTACTTATTTAACTTTTCGAATATTTCTCAATTTATTAAGAATACTTGTAAACATTTTTGTAATTAACTTTTTATAAAATATTTGTAGTCAATTAATGAAATATTGTTATTTTATGACATTTTTAACATAATGTTAAAGGTTAAGAAGAAAAAATTACGTTCGTCATGTGATATTGATCACACATATATATGTCGACCAATCTGCTGCAATGATGGAAATGTGCCTGAAATAGTTCAAATAGAGAATGAAAAGATTGGAGCAGATCCATTACAAACAGAGACAAGCTCCGCTACAATACAGCTCGGATACAATGGTTTAGATGTCTGCACATCAACTGTTAATTCTGTGAGTTTTTTTTTAAATATTGTAACGACTTCAGTTCTTGCCTTTATATTCCTGTACCAACACTGTGATATATATTCTTGTACAATGATTTGTTCCATACCTGACTACTGAAGCAAGTCTGAAAGATGCTTATTTTGTTCCATTTAATATGTATGCGTTATGTATGTACACATACGCGTACATAAGTATATGAATCTACTAGATAGAATAGCATGGGTATCTTTCAGATTTGCTATACTAGTGTAACATGAGACAAATCATTATTTATGGATGTAGATGAAGAGAAGGAATAATTTTCAAAATTGTTTATTTTTCTCAGGTTAAAAGAAGTGCTGAAAGCGAAGAGAGTGCTGTACACTTTCATACTATGACACAAGATGATACACTTTTGGATTGGCTAAAGGAAGTGAAAAAGGACATCAGTAATCAAACTACGAAAGAGCAAAACACTGACTTAAAAATTACATCTTTAACGGAAGAAAATGAGCAACTTAAAAAACGCTTGACAGAACTTGATAAATTTCTGAATAAGATACTTGGACAAAATGAAGTATTGCGTGACAGCAATAAAAATATGTCCAAGCAATTGGATACTTGGAAAAATATTAAGAAGAGAGAAGAAGGAATATTAACAACTTTTAATAAAGATCAAAGAGAGGCACTCCGGAGAAAGAATTCTCAAGGTGTAAAGTGGGAATCAGCTACGTTGAAGCAGGCCTTAATATTGAAATTGAAATGTGGCTCGTCGCGATATGAAGAAGTGAGAAAACTATTCCCTTTACCAAGTCTTCGCACTCTACAAAGAAGAACAGAATATATTGAACTTACATAAAATATATTGAAATATAAAATATATTGAAATATAAAATATATTGAACTTACATAAAATTTACATTAATTATGACAAGTTTAGTTTCTTATAATAGTCAAATTAATACAAAGCTTGCCATGCTGATTAACGTGTTAACTAAAATTTAATACTCTGTTAAAAAAATACATACCTCACAAAGATACTTTTCTTCCATTAGATAATAACTATCATTGCTCTTAGTGCCTTGTACATTGCAATTTCATTACTCCATATTTTTTTCAGTACCTGATCCTTCGGTAACTTGAATAGTTGAAATATATTCCCCTCTGATGTTGTTGAGCATGACAAAGCAACACATTTTCTTGCCATTGTAACTATAAAATAATAAATTCATTATTTTCTATAAGAGAAACAAAATATTTAAAATAATAAATATCCTTAGAAAATATTTACATCTTATCCTCCTTACTTACATTTTTCTTTTTATCTTTATAGGTTGTCCTCGTCGTTTTACTTTTTGCCAATTCCAATACATGGATGAGCGTCCAAATTAATTATACCTCACACGTTATTTTACGCTAACCTGCTTTAGCTAGGACTCTAACCTGCTTTGACGTTTTCTCCTATTCCATATGGAGAAACAAAATGGCGACTTTATCGATATATCGCACCTATCGATTTCAATGTCGCTTCTCTATTATCTAGAACTCTACTATCAAACAACTAAAACAGCTCTTGAACCGCTATGAAACAGCTAAAAACAGCTCTTGAACAGCTAAAAACAGCTATCAAACAGCTCTTGAACAGCTATCAAACAACTAAAACAGCTATCTGTATAACAGCGATCTGTATAACTGCGATCTGTATAACTGCTA